TGAAGTATTTGACAACTGTAAACTGGCTCTGCGTTACTGCCCTCGGTCGTCGTCAGCCTTTGTCATTCTTCACCTGTATCTGTCCCTTTTTATTCAGCAGCAGTGGTTTCTACAGTCCTGAAAGTCAGTGGTGAAGTGCTTTACAGGCCTGAAGCCTCAGCGTTGGCCCTCCCTTCCTCGTGGTCACCTTACCTGGGCAGCCCTGTGTCCCTTGGGAGCCCAGGGCTCTCTTAACAGTGCCCTCTGGGCAGCTGCGCACTTTCCCGGCCAGCCAAGTGCTGGCTCACGGTGAGGGCCTTATGAGACCGTCCTGGTGTTCAGCTTCCTCGGACCTCTCTCATGGTCCTGGTCGGGGATGCCCGCTGCTGCAGCAGCATCCTGGGTCAGCCCCGGGTGACGGCGGTTACTGCTGCTTCAGGTGACAGCAGAGCCCAGAGAAGGAGTGCTGATGGCTGGTTTCTAGTAGAAAGTAGTAAGATTGTGGAAGGAAAACATTCATCACCTTTTCCTTATAAAATGGGAAAAAGATTAGATCTAGAAATGATTTGTTATTCCTGTTTCCATCTCTAATAGTAATAGTAATAGTAGCCAGCATTTACTGAGCAGTTCCTATGTGCCAGATGTGGATCTAAGCACTTCTCATATCTTAACTCAGGTAATCCTCATAATAAACCCCATGAGGAGGACAGTGAGGCGCAGGTGGTCCTATGGCTCCTGAGAGGTGGAACCAGGACCTGACACTGGCCAGTGAGTTCTGGAGTTTGTTTTGTTAACGCTGCCCTGAGCTGCCTGGTGCTGGCACAGCACCTGACTTGTGTGGTTGCTCAGTAAATTTTTTGTTGATGGGCTAAGGGAAGGAGAATATTCAGCGATCATCTGTACGCTCCCCTTGAAGGCAGAATTGAGTTTATATTGTTTTCAAATTTCCAGTACACCTACCCACTGACATATATCTGCTGGAATAACAAAAGGTCATGCAAGGATCTCATGTACACGTATATTCTTAGGGAATTAAGTATATGAAAAAGAGAGCCTTTCAAAGCACCGGGTAAAAATAGATTATTCAGTAAAGGGTGCTGAAAGAACTGGCTAGCCATTCCAAAGAAGAAGAAGCTGTCTTGATTTTCCTACTGCTTACCACAAAAAGGAATTCCAAATGGATGAATGATTTAAATATAAATATGAAACCATAGACATGTTGGAAAGAAATACAGGTAAATGTATTTATAAACTTAGAGTAGGAAATGCCTTTCTAAGAATAAATAAAATCCAGAAGCAATAAAAGAAAAAATTGGTAAGATTAGGTTATTTAACACCACCACCACCAACAAAAAACGATGAGGAAAAATTCCAGAGGAAGCCAGAGAACAAATTAAAAATTGAGAAAAAAAATTACTCCCATGAAAGACCAAAGATTAGTTTATATTTAACATAGAAAGAATGCTTACAATTCAATACAGTGAGCACCCCAGTTTAAAAATAGGCGGAGAATATGAAAAGGCATTTCACCAAAATGAACATACAAATGGCCAGTAAATGAAAAGATGCTCATTTATGCTCCTAACTAAAGAAATGTATTTTAAAATATCATTACTAATGAGATCACCAAATATTAAATAGTTAACTTGTGTGTTATTGTGTGAGAAAAGAGACGTTCTCATAGTGCTGGTGGCAGGGTAAATTGTTTGAACTGCTTTGGAAGCCAATATGGTAAGATTTATCAAAATTTTTTTAAATAGTTTAGATTTATGAAAGAGTTGCAAAAATAGTACAGATGGTTCTTATATATCCTTCACCCACGTTCACTTTATGTTACTGTCTTACATACTCAGAGAATTTATCAAAATTAAGAAATTAACCTTGGCACTATCTGATGAACCAAAGTACAGAACTTACTCCGGATTTCAGTTTTTCCCTTAATGGCCTTTTTCTGTTCCAGGCTCCAGTCCAGGATCCCATCTTGCACTTAGTTTTCATATTTCTGTAGTTATTAAGTCTGTGACAGTTCCTCAGTCTTTTCCTTGTTTTTCTTGATTTTTTTTTTTATAATTTTTTTATATATTTATTTTTCCCCCAAAGCCCCAGTAGATAGCTGTATGTCATAGCTGCACATCCCTCCAGCTGCTGCATGTGGGACACGGCCTCAGCATGGTAGGAGAAGCGGCACGTCAGTGCACTCTCAGGATCTGAACCCGGGCCGCCAGCAGCGCAGCGCGCGCACTCAACCGCTAAGCCACGGGGCCGGTCCGCTTGTTTTTCTTGATCTTGACACGTTTTGAAGAGTGCTGGTCAGGTGTTTTATAGAATGTCCCTCAAATTGAGTTCCTCTGAATTTTTCTCCCAGTGCATCATATGAGGCAGTACATGATGTTGATTTGTCTCGTTACTGTGATATTAACCTTGATCACGTGTCTAAGGTGGTGTCTGCCGGGATTCTCCACTGTAAAGGTACTATTTTCGCTGTGTAGTTTGCTAAATATTTTGGAAGAGGTAAGAGCTTATCAATTTTAAATGCATATATATTTTGGCCCAGCAATTCCACTTGCAGAAATTTATCCACAGCTGTCTGTGATTTATTTCATCACCTGCAACACGGGGGTGATGATGCCCCTGGAACTGATGGAGAATTCAGTGACCCTGCATTTGAGGCACTCAGTTGTGCCTCACACACCCTAAGCTCACTGTGGTTCACCCTGCCGTCCCCAAGCCCCTGGGGGCAGATGTATTTGGAATTCAGAATTTGTTCAGAATTCAAGATACGTATAATGTGACAGCCCCAGGAGGATCTGCGGCTGCAGCCGGTAATCCAACACTAATCTTTCTGCAGTGGAATGTATAAATATTCACAAGAAGGGAGAAAGATAAAGACTAAGTATCTCCAGGTGAGTTCTATTCGGACCTTGGTGTGAGTTCAGGTCAGGTCTTGTGGCTGGATGAGTTTTTAAAAATCCCTTTGGGTTTTTAGAGCATTTTGGATTTCAGAATTGTGGAGACAGGATTGTACAGCTGGATAAGAGTTTGCAAACACAGTTGTGGATGTCTACGAGTGTTTGTGGCGGCATTGCTGGAAATAAGCCTAGAAAACCCCGAAAGGCCCTTTAGGAGATTAAGTAAATCCTGGTATACAGTTGTGCCCTGTTCAGCCCTTTGACAGGAATGGAGTAAACCATAATGTGCTGCTAGGAAAAGGGTGACAAGATGTATTACTAAGTGGTTCACGACATTACAGAAATGTGGGAATGATCTTGTTTGGATTAGAAAATGTATGTTGATGCTCGTGTGTGTCTGTATCGAGAAACATCGAGAATGGCTTCTAGAAGCGTGGCTGCATGTTAGAATCACCTGGGAGATTAAAAATACCAGTATCTGAGTCCTGCCCTAAACCCATTGGATTAGAAGTACAGGAGAGGGGCCCATGTGTTGGTATTCCAGGAGGACATCCCAGTGATTCTGATGCCCCCTGAGGGTTGAGAGCAGCTGAACTAGAGGAGACAGACCCTGGAGTGGGAAGAGGGAAACTTTTCATTTTACACTTTTATGTACTGTCTGTGGTTTTTCTCCCCAATTGTATTTGTACTTTTATATTTTAAAAAAAGTTTAAAAAGAATAAAAAAGACTGTTTGGTGCTCAAAATCAGATGATATTTTTCAGCAGATCTATAGAATCTTCTAGAAGTTTAGTGTTTTTGAGCATTCCTCTTTTTTAGTATGCACAGTGGTTGCTGATATCAACTGATAATTGAATTTACAACATTTTTTTCCTCTTTCATGCTGAGAGACTGGAAGCTGGTGAGGAAGGCACCAGCAGAGGCTGGACTCAGCCACCAGTTCTTTACATAGGAATTCTGGTGGGGCTTTACTTTAGGTGATTCAACTGGATTGCTCGTTTATCCCCACCTCGGCTGCCACACTAGTACCCACTACTAAGAAAGAAGATGTCTCCCAGTGACATGCTTGGATAGAACTACCGTCCATGGGATGAGAGCCAGCTCTGTCAGCTCTCACGTGTTCTCAGTCAAGAACTTGGCCTGGAAGGTGTGTCTGTCACTGGTGGTCTCTCCTCCTCGCTCGCCTCCTCTCCTTCCTCCTCCACTGCTCCGCATCTGGCATAAAAGCGTGTCTGTTCTCACAGAGACTGTTGCATTTATGGCGTTGATTGCGTGCCCTGCCCTCCCTCTGATAAGGTCCTGTTGTATCTGGCTCAGCGAAAGCCATTTGGACAGTCAGCTTTCCTTGTCCTTGGCGACCAGCGCTGGTATCCAGCCAGACCTGGTTTTGGGTTGAAGTCCGTGAGCAGAAGTGCTAGCAGTTCTTGTGAGCTGTGTTTGTGTGTCTGTCGGGAGTGCGGTGCTCGCTGCAGCTCCCGAGGTCTTCCTGACTCTGTGCCGCGGCACACCACGCTGCACCTGCGCGGGTCCGGGCTCTGCCGCGAGGCGCGGGCGTGTGGGGGAGCCGGGCTGAGAGCCTCGTCGTGCCGCCTGGTGACTCACACAGCGGGAGGTCACGCTCCTCCTGGAGGCCTTCCTGCTTTGCTCAGGAAACGCTTTGGTTAGGTGTCATTCATAATTCTGTCAAAGGGTGGAAACCTCCCTTGTTAGGAATCAAATCACAAAGGCCCCTGGGGAGTAGCGAGACATGGACTCTCTGTAACGTGATGTGGAAGCACTGGATGTCTGCCGTTGCCGCTTACAGAGACGGTTAATTCTCAGACTGTACTGGGGAGGCAGGTACTATCGTGACCCCATTTCACAGCTGAGGACACTGACGCAGAAGAGCAGCTATTTCTCGCCCGAGTCTGGGAGCCCGTCCTGGGAGCTGGCCGCCCGGCCCGGGGCGCCGCTCCCGCGTGCTTCCCCACGGACGGCTTCACAGGGCAGGAGACAGTGCCGGGCATGCCTGGGGGCGGGCGGGACGCCTCCTGTGGGCCGTGATGATGGACGTGGCCTGCCTCGGGCGTGGGAAGACTAGCAGTGAGGTTCTGTGTTTGTTCTTATTTGGCAGATTCTCAGCCCGGCCTTGGAGATGATGGGATTGGGGAACGGGCGTCGGAGCATGAAGTCGCCGCCCCTCGTGCTAGCTGCCCTGGTGGCCTGTGTCATTGTCCTGGGCTTCAACTACTGGATTGCCAGCTCCCGGAGCGTGGATCTCCAGGTGTTGTGTTTGTTTTGTCTCTGTGGCTGTCATGAAGTATGTAAAGTTGCGGGGTGGTGGGGTCCGAGGGGTTTGTTGTTTGTCGCCACCTAGGGTACTGTGCTCAGTGGTGTGCGACTCTGTATGTGGGTTCAGGGCTCTGCGTATCCCCCCACCCAGCCCTGGGCCTGGCTCTCCACACCAGCTCTGCGCTTGGGTGGGAAAGGACCCCTCGTGACTTCTTAGGACTGCTGCCGGAACATCCCTCTCGGCTTGTCACGTCAGTTAATTTTCAGCCCAGCTATTTGAGCCGGTTCTGGGAAGACAGCTCGCTTACGTCCACTGACCGCAGCCCGTTCTGGTCCTCCAGCTCACACTACATACCAAAGAGCAGTGGTGGAAATGTATTTGGATAATGGGTGTGAGACGTGTTTTTAGGGGTGCCAGTCTTGATCATCATCATTTAATGATAACAGTAATCTTAGCTTTCCCATTCGTTGTTGCCCTTCATGGTTCAGGCACAGTGCTGAACAGTGACAGAGACTCTGCTTGACCAAACTCAGGCTCCTCTGACCCTCCTCTCTACCAGGCCTCTGTCTTGGCCCCCATCCTGCCTTTGGCCTGCCCAGCCCAGCTCAGCAGAGAATCCTAAGTCACCCCCAACCCCTGATATCTGATCAAGCTCCTCATCCCTCTGCCTTGAAGTCGAAGCCCTTGGCCTTCAGCAAGAATCTTGTTAGGCCAGTTTAGCAGAAATCCCCCTACCCTTGATGTCTCCTCAATACTTCACCCTCTGACCCCTCACTCTGCTCGTTGGCTGTCAGTGCTCAGCTGTCTTTGCTGTGTTCACAGTTGAGCAGTTGCTCTCCCCTCCGACTACTGCATAGTCCTGACCCCTGGTGCAGTAGCCTCGAATAAAGTTTCCCTTACCATTTTAACAAATGTCAGAATAACTTCTCTTTAGCAGTACCTTACCTACCTGATCTTTTGAACACAGACTCTAAGTTTGGGACTTTGTTTTCGCCATTTCACGGGTTGGCAAACTGAGGCACAAAAAGGTAAGGTACAGGGGAGCCAGGATCCATCCCAGTCTTTCTGATGGTGGGCGGGGCCTCTCAGCGACGGAGGTCCATCCCGGCTGCGTGTTTGGTCCTGCTCTCACGCTCACCTCCAGGGTTCTGGTGCCTTTGCCTGAGCTTCCACCAGACCCGTGTTCTCCGGGCAGGTGTGGTCTTGGTGTCCACGGTTGGAGAACTGAATCTGTTTTCAGAAATTTTGTCTGGTAAAGAGTTGTTAAGTGTTCTGTTAGCAGGGAAAGGAACTAAATATTTGAGTACCGGCTTACGCCAGGTAAAGCATGAGGCTTTTATGCACTTACCTCATTTAAGCCTCACAGAATCTCTGGGAAAGGTGAGGCAGTGTTTCTGTGGACACCTGCATTGGAGACACTGAAGCTCAGAGAAGTGAATTCCTCCACGTAGAGCACCATTTATCTAGAAAAGTCTGCTGTAGCTTCTACACAGCTGACCTGAAGGATTGAGCCTTGGGAGCGCACTGTGTGTTTAAGGCTTGGTGCTGGCTTTGGGCCCCGGTGTTGTCTTTGCTGAGGGACCTTGGGTAGTCTGGTCTCCAGGGCTGGCTTGACATTCGCCCTTATGCTCTGGTGTCCTTGTAGACGCGAATCTTGGAGCTGGAAGGCAGAGTCCGCAGGGCGGCTGCAGAGAGAGGCGCTGTGGAGCTGAAAAAGAACGAGTTCCAGGGAGAGCTGGAGAAGCAACGAGAGCAGCTTGACAAAATCCAGTCCAGCCACAACTTTCAGATGGAGAGCGTCAACAAGTTATACCAGGATGAGAAGGCAAGACCTGCTTTGTTTTCCTCTTAACTCTGTCCTAAGTCCTGGTTTATCCACTGTTGAATTCTTCTCAGTAGGAGGATAAGCAGCTGTGTGTCCATCTGTGTAATTATGTAGAATTAGCCTCTTGATCGAGCCTAGGGTATCTCCCCCATCTCCCGTCAGTCCCTGGGTGGGCTTGTTGTAAAACCTTTTGCAATGGTGATAAATGGGAGAGATGCAAAAGAACTCTCTTAGCATCAGATTCATCCTCCTATTGTTTTTTTTCCTTACTTTCTACAGACGTGTATTAAGTACCTGCTCTGTGCCCGCCTGTGCCAGATGCTTGTATCTCAAAGAGGAATAGTGTTTGTGCCCTTGAGTATCTCACACTGAGAGGAGATGCAGACCTCTAATTAATGCTAACAAAGAAGGCAGGGGACTGAGTGCTGGTCTTCAAGTTTAAAACAAATCAGATCCTACACAGATTAAAAAGGGGATTCCTGATAACATATCTAAGTTTTATGTATCTTGCTTTTTCTGTTTTCTTAGGAATGCATGACTGCACTTTCCTGTGTATTGAATGGTATGAAGGTGCGGGTTACTAAGTATCTTCTCTTCTACAGTGTGTCAAACTCGTCACTATGCATTACCTAGGAGAGGTGGGCCCTCACTAGTGTGTGCGCCTCTGTCCGTGAAATGCTTGATTTATTGGAAGAAGGTGGTATCCTGAGATCCACTATCTCGGAGGTGGATTTGGTTTTATTATCAACTACTGGCTAGCACTTCACCAGAAAATGAATCATTTCTAGGTAGGGCCTCAGACTTTCCTTACGTAACTGGTTTAAAATGTGAGAAATACTTATTTTCATTTGCAGAGTACTTTCCCATATTCACAAATGGACATTTCTTCTCTGGGAGTTGTTCCATTTTTAATACTGTTGTAGTAAAGTGCTTCCTGAGTTTTCTTCACTTTTCTCACATGTGGGTGACACTATTTGTGCTCCTGACGTCCCCTTTAACTGAATAGAATAGAACCCAGACATTTCTCACAGCGTGTACACGGACAGAACCCCTTAAAGCACATTTTTTGGAGGAAGTAGAATTTGTTCTCAAGGAACAGAGTTTGCAGAAGTTGCAACTGGGATTTGCAGGACGTGCAGAGAACGTCTGTGGCACCCTGGCCCTCTGCTGGGTTAGGAAGGAGTGTGGCAGGACTGGGGAGTGTTGCTGGGGAAGTGGACCCAGGAGAGACCAGCGGGATCGCCCCACAGGGTCTGGGCTGAGATGGGCTCCCGGGCTGGGCCGGGCAAGGTGGGAAGGACCCTCCGTGCCGGTGTAGTGCTTCTTCAGTGCCCGGTGATGGTCTGGGACCAGCCGGAGCAAGTATTTCCATCTGCGGGTAGAGAGGAAAACGAAGAGGCTCTTTTGTGTGTCTGCCTGCCTCTCCACCCTGTGTGCCTGTGTCATAACCTGAAAATTTAACTCTCTTTTCCTTAGGAAGAATTGTTTTACTGTGAACCTCTGGCCTTTCTTCATTTTTGTTTACAACTGTTTTCGTTGTGACATGGCGGTGGTAGAAGATAGTGTGAGCATGTGTCCCTGTGTGGTGTTTGGCTGTTGCTTTTAAATGTCATTGTTGTCTTCACTCCATCAGTCTACCAAATGCTTCTGAAATTTTACTGGCCCACAGAATCCAAAATTCTGGGAACAACTATTCTCTCTCTTCATGCTCCTCCAAGCTTCTGGGTATTTTTGTGCATTTCATGGAAGTGTGGGTGCGTGTTTTGGGTGGGGAGAAAGAAAAGAGATTGCAGGGTAATTTCTGCTCATGAGGTGTTCTGCCCCGCCCTGGGTATGCATGCATGGGGCTCCAGACCCCTGTGAAGCGGGCTGTAGACAACCGGGCTTCTGTATCATGTGGGCAGAATCCTCAGAAGGCACAGAACAGTTCGTTCTAGGGAGATTACGGTGGCATGGTCAGTGAAGAGTCACCACCACAGACAAGTCCTGGAGGCGGAAGTGCTGGTTCATTTCAGTGTGATCTGATGTGGAGCTGAGACCACAAATGTGGAATTCTTTGAAATCTGTTTGGCCAGCTGTTTCCGGAAACATCTGCCTGTATAGGAAGAAACGAGAGGGAACATCATCTAGCCAGAAACCAGGTGACTGTCTCACCTCGGTTCTTAGTGCTGCAGTTTTGTGGCTTCTTTTTTAAAAAGGGGACGTAACGCAGGATCTTAGCCTTCCTCCCCACCCCGCTTCAGGGGCTGTTTGAGGGCCAAGCGGAGGGAGGCTCTTGTAGTCACAGCAAACAGTTGACGATAGAAACTGAAAATCCAGGCATTCCAGTGCGGAGGGTAAAATACACATTTGAAAGAGTCAAAGAGCCATGGGAGAGAGAGTCCTTGTTCCTTTGGGGTTTTTAACTTTTAGGTTATGATGTAAAGTTCTTTTCATTTGGGGGCAGGGGGCTAGTTTCTCAGCTCCAGGAGGCTCTTAGCTGTAGCTTGGTGTGGTGGTGAAAGGCATGAGGCGTCCAGTCAGGCAGACCTGGGTTCAAAGCCTTCTTTTCCTCAGCTGTGTGATTTCAGGCAAGTCTGTTAAATTCTCTGGGCCTGTTTTCTCAGCTGTCAGGTGGAAAAAACAACAGAATCTCCCTTACAGAGTGGCTGTGAGGATTCAGTGAGATATTTATAAAGGGTGTAGCATAGTGCTTGACATGGGGTAGAAGCTCAAAAAATGGTAGCTAGTATTCTTACAACTAGTTGTAGTAACTAGTAGCAGTAGTAGTAACAGTAATAGTAAAAGCATAGCAGTAGAGGTGGTAGTGAACCACAGCATCAGTAGTGATTATATATATATTTGTGTGTGTGGACTCTTTTTTTCCCTCCCAAATTGAAACCATGAAACCACATTGTCCTAAGCTTTAAGAAAGGGTGAAGAAGATGCTGGGGCATCCGTTAGAACTGAGAGCTCACGGTGAAGCTGGGCCGTGGGAAGAGTACCACTGACAGCCAGCGCCCCAGCCGGGGGAGCTCACGTTTGCTGGCCTCCGCTTAGCCGGACACCAGGCTCAGCGTTTCACAGGACTGTTGCCTCTATTCCTCGCAGTAGCCTCTTGAGGTTGGTGCTCCTTGTACAGATGAGGGAACGGCGGCCCAGAGGGAATTAATAACTGTAACCCGGGACGAGACCTAGACCCCTGCCAGCCTCCAGGAGGCCTCCATCCCTGCCCCTGGCCTCCCTCTGCTCTGTGCACATACAGCTTCTCTGGGCCGTGAGTGGCTTCTCACGACTCTCTGTCACTAAGGAACACACAGGGGCATTGGTGGGGCCACAGAGGAAGCCAGGCTGGCCCAAGTGGATGGCTGTTGAAGCTTGCTGGTGGGATTGTTTTCCCTCTCCTTGCTTGAGAAGACTACCATATTCCAACTAGCTTGCCTTTGTTCCCAATTCCAAATTCTCAGGCAAAAAATACATGATCTTTCAATATGGCCGGGCAGTTCCCAGAGAAGTAGGGCTGATCTGTCACCCCAGTGACTTGAGTTGATCTCTTTTTGTATCTTGGGAGGTTAGCACTTGTGGTTTGAATTGGAATGACCTCTCTTTCAGACTTCTAAAGAATCATCTGATGGTCTAATAGTGATTCTTACCTATGGGAGGAGCTGGGGTGTTGTCATCTGAGGGAGGAGGCAGTTTGCAAATCTCACATCACCTAGAGATTTCTGACCTCCACCACCGTCCTGCCCGGGGAAGGAACTGTGTTACTCTGCATGGCTACTGTAGTCCTCAAGTGGGGGCCTGGATAGAAGCTTGAAAACCAAACCTGTAGGGAAAACGTGGTGATGAAATTAATGCTTCGGGTAGGCACTGTGTGGTAGAATTCCCTGTGATGATGGACATGTTCTCCATTTGTGCTCTGCGGTGTGGTAGTCACTGGCCAGGTGTGGCTGTTGAACACCAGAGTACGGCTAGTGGGACTGAGGAACTGAATTTTGAATTTTATTTAGTTTTAGCTAATCTAAATTTAAAAACCAAATATTGGACAACACGGGTTTGGATGGGGAGGCGGAACTCCAGTAGAAAGGCTGCTTTGGATCTCTGAGTTAGAGTCACGCTCTGCGGAGGAGCAGTTGGGCCAAGGCTGGGTCCCCTTCACTTCTTTGGTGCCCTTGCCCCTTCTCTGCGTGGTTCAGAATTGGACGATGGAAGATGAGGTCCCCTTCTGACTGGGTGGCTGTACTCTGTTGCTTGCTTGTGTTCTGTGATGCAGAAGGGTCACATCAGCGATTGGCTGATGTTTATGCCACATCTTGGGAATTTGAACTTACTTGTTATGGAAGTTGTTTCAGAGAGATCAGTCCTCTCCCAGCTGCACATCACAATTACCTGGGAGCTGACAGAGAAAAATACAGATGTTTAGAATACACTGGGTCAGAGTCTCCGGGTGTCGGGCCTCAAAGGATATAGCGTTTTTTTAAAGATTATACACACACGTGTGCACGCACAATTTTTTCTAAGTTCTCAGATCATTGTGATGCAGCTTGCTAATCCAGAGGCTGGTGATGGAGACAGGTGTTTTGTAGTCTTATAGTTTGAAAAATAAAAATTCTGTATCATGGTTTTTATTTTCATTTTTTTGACCCTGCCTGAATGAAATGATTTAAAAAGTAGATGGCATTATAATTAAGACATACAATTCTTTAAAAATAATTTGGCAGTGCTGTTACAAAGTAATTGATGTTAATTCTTTCTAAGATATTTCTCTCATCTTTACCCACATTTATTGGGATCTTTGAAAATTTTTAGAAGACATGCCAGGTTGGAGACTCCCTGCTCACTACTTTTCCCTGAGATTGCTGACTCCTCCAGAACGGGAATGCAGGTGTGTCTCCAGGTCCTCTGTGCCGAGACTAGCTCGCTCGGACGCCCCTTCCTTCAGGTGTCACCTGAAACGGGGAGGCATGTGGGAAACATCGCGGGAGCTTCTCGGCCGCTGTGCCCTCGTGATATAATGAGAC